GTATACAGAAGTCTGAAGTACTCATGATATTTCCCTCTGCTTCAGCTCTGACACCTCCAGCCACTCCTCCTCATCAAATGTGGAAACCCCTGGCAGCTGTGGCACTGCTTGGGAAGAGCAAAGCCTCCGAAGCCTCCAAGTCGAGCCCCTCCAAAGTTATCCAGATAGAAGCTCGGCCTCTGCCCTCAGTCAGGCCACGTAGCAAACCCACGCTCGCTGCTGCCACTGTAGCCCCCGATTTGGCGTGCATGGATCATGACTATTGCCTTCCCAACAAAGGCACTCCCACTGCAGAGCCAGGCAAGCGTTGGAATATTAAACAGCAGTCCTTTATCACCATTAAACCCATCAGGCAACATACTCCAACCACTACACAAACAACCCCAGCTGCCCTGGCATCATCTCTCCAATCTACCATAAATCAGGCGGTTTTAACCAAAACACAAGTTTGTCCAGTGAAGCCCCTGGAGCCCAAGGCAAATAGGTTGGACGAAAGCTCTGTTATGGAGACTCCAGATGCTTCTCCTACTCGGCCAGAGACTGAATTGAAGGAAAGGAGCCCGAGGAGAGGTCCGTTGGGAAGGTCGTACCGTCGCCATGGTGCTTCTCGCACACCCAGCCCCAGATGTAGTCCTGAAGAGAGGCCCAGAGGTCGGTCTAGAAAAAGATCACATCATTCTCCCAGTCCAATGTCCAGCTGTTCAGAGTCAGACTCCGATTCTTCTAGATCTCGGTCTAGATCACACTCTCCAACAAAGAAAAGGTTTGTCCCAAAACATGTCTTTGATTCAGATGCATTAAACCTCTTCACTGATGTGTAATGATTTCCCTTTTCCTTCTTTTTGATTTTTAGGTATCGTCACCAGAGCAGTTCCAGCTCCTCGTCCCGTTCCTCCTATCAGCCTTCTGTGTCCCGCTCTCCTCCCAGAAGGAGAAGGTATTCCTATTCTTCTTCTCGTTCTGGCTCTTGGAGTCGCTCCAGGTCACGATCTCGGTCCCCTCAAAGACGGGATCAGTGGAGTAAAGGCAGACAATTGTACAGGTACAGTACTGTGACTTCTCTTGGTAGCTGTTTCATTTGTGCCCTACATATACTTTGAGAAACCTTGAAATGACGAGTGAAGGCTTCATCTTTTCTTCTTCAGTCCCTCATATCGGCCCAGCTATGGTCATTCTCCAAAGCCAAATGCGGAAGAGGTGAAGAGACGCAAGGAGAAAGCCATTGTAAGTTAATTATTCTAGGTATAATTAAGTGAAATGATTCCAGTAGTTATGATGTAAAACTGATGGACTCTCTTCCAGGAGGAGCGCCGCATTGTTTACGTTGGTAAAATCCGGGGAACGATGACCCAAAAAGAACTAAAAGAGCGCTTCTCCTATTTTGGCGAGATCGAAGAATGTACCCTGCACTTTAGAGACCATGGGTAAGTAAGCTCCTCGTATTATACATGCAAACATCTTACATCACCACTTTTTCTTAGCATAGAGCTTTTGGGAAGGTTTTGTAAATGAGAAAGTTGCACTGTCTTTGAACCTTCTTGGTCTTGTCTATGACCTCTTAGGCCAAGCTACAGTGCTAAAGCAAATTCAAGCTTGTTCATAACTGGAGCTTCCTGGCATCACCACCAGGTGGCTCTTTTAAAAGCAAGTTACACCTTGAAGCTATGTGCGAGTCCTGTTGCTGCCCTCTCTGCTCAAACTAAAAATGAGGAGGAATTAAACTTTTGGTCATCTGCCACAGGGACAACTACGGCTTTGTGACTTATTACAACACCAGGGATGCTTTCACAGCGATTGAGAATGGAAGTAAACTGCGCAAGCCTGACGAGTTGCCATTTGATCTCTGTTTCGGTGGAAGGAGACAGTTCTGCCAGAGCAACTATGCTGACTTAGGTATGCTTTTAAATTTCCAGATGCAAAAAAAGTTTCTGCATAACTCTTTGATTTTTCTTTTCCTCTTCTTATTTTTAATGCAATTCCGTCTCTATAATCATTTCAGATTCGAGTAGAGAGTACGAGCCAACGCCTGCAAAAGGCAAGTATCATGCACTAGACTTCGACACTTTACTGAGGCAGGCCCAGCAGAATCAGAAGAGGTAACGAGAGGCCTGCAGCAGGACGCAGCAGATATTTACCTCAGAGCTGACGATGGCTCCTCACCTGCAACACTGTTTACAGTTTAGCTGTTGCATTAGGGATTTGTTTTTTGTTCTTTTTGTAATGTTGTTTCTGCAAGCTAACACCTTCTATTGAAGTGAAGATTTATAATGAAAAAAGCAAAAGGAGGCAAAAAAATTGAATAAATGGAATAAATACAACAATAATTTTTAAAGTTTATTTAAATGTACAATTGAACTTGAATTGAATGGAGAGGGAAATGTTTTTAAAAGGGTGGAATAAGTAGAATGGCGCTCCCTAATTATTGGGAGGAGGATGTATTACATTGTAATGTATTACAGACCTCAATAAAAAAGAAAAATACAGTTTTCTTTTTTTTTCTCTCACTGTTTTTAATTAAATTTGAATTTATAATTTTTCTGTGATGTAATTGTTAATTTCATGGAATATGTGATGGTTCAGACTTGGTGCTTTGGTTTCAGGGTCCGAGTGAATTCATCAATTCAAGTTTTGTAATTCTGAAGAAGAAAAGAGTTGAGTACAATAGCAGTGGCTCATTTCTGCTAAGCGTCCCAGTGGGCTGGTATAAATAATAATGGATTGTATTAATATAGCGCTTTTTGGGGCCCTCAAAGCGCTGTACAATTCCACTATTCATTCACTCTCACATTCACACACTGGTGGAGGCAAGCTACGGTTGTAGCCACAGCTGCCCTGGGGCAGACTGACAGAAGCGAGGCTGCCATATCGCGCCATCGGCCCCTCTGGCCATCACCAGAAGGCGGTACGTGAAGTGTCTTGCCCAAGGACACAATGACCGAGACGGTTCGAGCCGGTTACAAGACGAACTGCCAACTCTTTGAGCCACGATCTAAATGAAAGAACCCCAGAACTGTTCAGCTAAATGTGCTTATTAATGTCATTGGTTAAACTTGAGATTTAACCAGCATTTCCTGCTGTGGTAATCATTGTGTTTTCTAAAAAGGTGAAATTCTCTCCCTGTCATAGCTTTCTGCACTACCCCAATGAAAAAGAGCCATGTTTAATATTAGGTGTCACACTGCCACAAGCCTGTTGTATGGATTTTGTCATATTTTTAATGTGTGTGCTGCAAAGTTTTCTATTCAGTTACATTTTTAGGTCACTTTATACCATAAGTTAAAGATCTTACTGTATTGGGGAGAGAACCCAAACAATTTAATGAGTCTGCACTGTCACGAAGTGCTGTGACAGTGCATCACAGCAAGGGCTACAGCATACTAAGCCTATGGCACCCTAACCTGATCCAGCCCAAACTGTAAGCTCTATCAAAAACAAAGGTTTTAAGCCACATTTAAAGGGTACAGAGGGTGTCTGCCTCCTAAATCTGAACTGGGAGCTGATTCCACTGGAGAGGGGCCTGATAGCTAAATATGAAAGTTTGTTTCCACCACTGAACCAAAACGTAATACTTTGAACCCCATCCATAATTCCAAATTTCAACTAACTTACTTCAAATATCAAGTTATTTTCTCAGAGAACGGAGTAAGTCGAACTACTGCGATAACCTGAAATCTTGACTACGGATGGAAATTTTTCTTCAGTGGTGGAAATGAGCTTCCATAGCTGAAAGCTGTGCCTCCTGTTCTACTTTTAGAAACTCTAGGAACCACATGTAGGCCTGCAGCCTGAGAGCAAAGTGCTTTATTAGGATAATATGGCACTAAGGTCTTCAAGATATGCATTTAACTACTGCAGAGACTTCACCCATCCTACATCCACCTGTTTGACCACTGCCCTCAGGGAGATGCTACAGGTCCAGCCAAACCAGGACTAACACACACTAACACACTGTTCCAGTTTTTTTCCACAAGCCATCAGCTGTACTGAACACGCACATCAGCACCTCTCACACATAAACACCACCACCACACAAGACAAGTGCAATACCTCAAAGCAACCTTGCACATCTGTATAAAGCTTTAATATGTGTATAGTTGGCATTTTTAGATTTGTTTATTGTTAGCTACTTGTTTGTTTTATTGCTATTTATTATAAATGCTGATAGAGTGTTGCTTCTAATTTAACATAGGGATCTTGATTTAACAGCTACCCACTATTTTAATCATTTGTTATATTCCTTTTGATACTCTTTTTTTTTTTTTTTACTCTTTATGCAATTCTTTCATTAACTTTTCTTGGCTAGCATCAATGACTGTGTAAAAAAACATGTACAAATCTATTCAGGGCCATTGAATTTATTTTTTTGTCCTGACTAGTTGACCTAATCTTTGGACTCACCCCCTGGATATTGTGAAAACTCGCAACCCTGTTTTGTAGTCATTGTAGTAAAGCACGCTGTGTACTGTGGAAAAGTATAACTGGATTATCTTGACGATTTGGAACAAAGCATGCGCATTTTGCTGACACAGATCATAAACAGATGAGCAGCACCTCCCCTCTGTTTGAAAGTGGTGTTGGAGCTTAGCTGCATTCCTAATATGGGCTGGAATTTAAAGATATTACACAGCCGGCGAGATGTTCAACGCAGTCGACCAACAGAGCGAATAATTGCCACCCTCTTGTGTATTTGATAAATACGTGCACACTTTGTATCCCCGCTCATTGATAAATGAGAGAGATTGATCACGCATAAACCAATCTGTTATTTAGCATCATTATTGCTACATATCTGACTACTATTAAGTGTATTGAGTAAAAAAAACGGATGTCGTTATAATTTTGATGTACATTTTGCCCACAACTGGTTACAAAAGAGGCTAATTCTATCATGCCGTGAACTGAGGTGTAGGCTACATCTTTAACTGTGTAAAATCTTTGCGGTGTTTTGTCACGTACATCTAGTTGCGACTGGTTTGAACTGGTTTCGTGAGCATGCGCACTTGGTGTAAACAGGAAGAAACGACGTAAAGTAGGTCAAATCCACCCATAAAGAAGAGAAAATGCACGGACAGCCACGAGCGAGTGTTTGGTTTTTGTTTACATATTAGACAAACTAAATGATGATTTGTATCACCTGATAGTAATTTATATCACAGCTTGTAAAACCAGTCGGGGTCTTTGTTTCGAAAAACTCGATAGAGTCCTTGCGTTAGCTAACATTAGGCTCAGAGTGACGCGGTTTATTTCCACCAGGTTTGCCTGGGAGCATTCGCCTGCTGACCTACATTTGAAAATATTCCCTGGGTTCGTCGCAAATTTCGTGACTTTTGTATCGAGCGAAACGTCGAAAAATGGTTCAAAAAGAAAATACGTTAGAGACTCCTCAAGTGGATGGTGAGCCGAGCCCCAGCCCAGTCTCCGGAGAGCCTTGTGCAGAGGCCCCTGGCCCGGTGGAAGAGACTGTGATCGGAGTCGAAACGACGGGCCTCAGAAAATTTATAAGCGGAGTCGTGGAAGGTAATGTTGGAGAAAGATTATGTATGTAGTTTGATATCGTCACATATATATAAATAAATAAATAATAAATTTGTATCTTAAAATGCAAATATGCTGGTTAATAAAAAAATTACCCTTTAAAATTTCATAGGCTTACGTGTATATACAACACGATCTAGTTAATCGTATACAATCAGAAGCTAGGCGTCGAAATGCTGCAGTAATTCCGCTGTCTGTCTGTACATAATGAACACAGTGCTACACTTCATGAATTTAAAAGGGACGTCTTTATTTGGGCACATTCCTGAGTAATTCAGAAGATAGTATTAAGCAGATTCAAGCACGTCGGCACCAAGGGGCAAACTGTCGAAGCGACTAAGCAGCTCGCTGTGCATGCAGGAAACGCACATTAGGACTGCAGGGTGCGTGGAAACTGAATGTCGTGTTTTCTAACGCAGGCTTTTATGGGCGGCCATGGACAATGGAACAGAGGAAAGAGCTGTTCAGGAGGTACTGTGGATCATTTAAGACTGCATGTTGACAGCATTATAGCAGGGTAACTCGGATTGTTTTAATGAGTCTGAAAAAATGATTTTCACAGGCAGCAGAAATGGGGACTGAATACATACCTTTACGCACCCAAAGATGACTGCAAACACAGAATGTTCTGGAGGGAGCTGTATTCAGTGGAGGAAGCAGGTGATTACCAAGAATGTCGTTGGGGAGACGGGGAATGATTGTATGATACTTTTAAAGTGAGCCAATTGCATATTAATTATAAATGCACAATAATTTACACTTTTGTCTTTCTCCTGTCTCCTAGAGCAACTCATGACTTTAATCGGTGCTGCTAATGAGCATGGGATAGAGTTCATCTATGCCATTTCCCCTGGATTAGATATTACCTTCTCCAACCAAAAAGAGGTTTCTGCACTCAAGAGGAAACTTGATCAGGTATTGCAGCATTTTTATGAAGAACACATTGAAATCCTTCTTGATGGATATCTACAGCAGTTTTCTGTATTTTACTATGTCATTTCTTCCCTTTCAGGTTTCACACTTTGGCTGCAAGTCCTTTGCCTTACTTTTTGATGATATTGACCACAACATGTGCCCTGCTGATAAAGAAGTGTTCAGTTCTTTTGCACACGCTCAGGTTTCTATCACCAATGAAATCTACCAATATCTTGGCGAGCCTGAAACCTTCCTCTTCTGTCCCACAGGTAACTTGTTTTCCTTGTTTTTTGTACCTGCCTTATTTGCTCATTTTGTGTGTGTTTGCGCTACTTGCTCACTTATTTTTCTCACCGTCAAATTCAGAGTACTGTGGAACATTTTGCTACCCAAGTGTCCCTCAGTCCCCTTACCTCCACACAGTAGGGGAGAAGCTCCTGCCTGACATTGATGTGCTATGGACAGGCAAGTCTAACAGTTTTCCTTGAAATTGCAAACCTATTCATACATGTCTATGTTGAAGACTTAAAAAGAATAATTATTTGGATATGTTGACTTTTCTGTAGGCCCCAAAGTGGTTTCCAAAGACATCACAGTGGAGTCTATTGAAGAGGTGTCAAAAATCCTGAGGAGAGCCCCAGTAATCTGGGACAATATTCATGCCAATGATTATGACCAGAAGAGACTTTTCTTGGGTCCCTACAAGGGCCGCTCCACAGAGCTCATCCCCAGACTGAAGGGAGTCCTCACCAATCCAAACTGCGAGTTTGAATCCAACTTTGTAGCAATCCACACTTTGGCCACCTGGTACAAGTCTAATATGAACGGTGTGCGCAAGGATGTGGTCATGAGTAAGCAACAGAGACTTCTTTCTTTTGTTTGTTTGTTTGTTTGTTTGTTTAGTTATTCTGCAAATTTCAAAGCATACCACAGACAGAAAAGATCCAGCTTGAAATGAGTGGGTAAAATGTACTTCATTAAGCAATAAGGAAGGAGGGGAAAAATGAAGATCAGTATCAAATAATTTTATCAAAACCCTTTATGCCTTTGAGGCAAAGGGGTAATTTAACAAAAATAAAACACACAGGGTTTTGAAAATTTGGGTGGGGGTGTACTTATAGTTAGCTGGGGAAATGTAACACCCGATGTAAGGTTTATCGAAACTAGGAAAACATTTCCACAGTCTGGTTTTAATATACTATACATCTATTTAAGCTAAGTAATGCTTATACAAGCGCACATGGAGTGAAAAGAATCCTGAGCATTGGATTTCTTAAACGCCTTTCATTAAGTTTAGGCCTCAGCTCCTCATATCAAAGTCTGAAGTCATGGGTAGGTACACAATCTTTAGTTACAAGGATTTTAAAGTTTCCAAAAGTGTCATTATCAGTATAATGCTTATTTTGTGTTGATGCAGTATACTCTCAGTATGAAGTTACTGTCATCTTGCACTGAAATCCAGATTATTAATGGATGTACTTCTGTTTTTTCTCTCCCCACCTTGCCCCTTTACCAGCTGATGGTGAGGACAGCACCGTTTCTATCCAGATTAAGTTGGAGAATGAAGGCAGTGATGAAGAACTTGAGACAGACATGCTCTATAGCCCACAACTTGCTCTAAAACTGGCTCTCACAGAATGGCTTGGGGAGTTTGGTGTGCCTCACCAATACAACAGTAAGTTTAATCTCCATTAATTTTTTTTTGTTAATAGAGTTTTTAGCAGCATCACCTGAAATGCCTAAAAACCATACCGTATGCACTGACACTCTGTTCTCACAGGCCGGCAGGTGCCTCAGAGTGGTGCCAAAGGCACGGGCATAGATGTGTCATCCATGACTGCTCCCTCTCTTTGCTCCTCAACAACGGTCACAACTGTGTTCCAGCAGCCCATCATGTCTCCAGCAATGCCTCCTCTGTGCCTGGATCCAATCTCACTTCCTTTGGCAAAAAGACCTCAGGAGGAAGAGGAGGTGGAGTTTGCATTATGACACAGTTGTAGCACTTGTGTGACCTTAACTCAATTGCTAAAAGTACTTGTTTTCTGTTCATGCAGCTCATCACCCAGTAAAATAACCATTGGGGCATTGATTAAAGGGCTAATAATGAAAGTAATTGTCCTCTCTTTATAGTCTGGTACAATCCAGACAGAGGATTGTACCAGACTATCTACAGGTACTTTAACTTTTTACTGGGCATGTGCAGGTGGAGGTGGAAAAGAAGGATTCAGATGAGGAGCCCATGGAGATGGTGGTTGAGAAGCAAGATGAGGCAGAGCCAGAAGCCGAAGTCGACCCAGAAGAGAAGCATGCAGGTCCTATTTTAGCTGACAAGATGGCCGAGGACCTCAAACCTATGGATACAGACAAAGAGAGTCTGGCAGAGTCCAAATCTCCTGAGGAGTCGATTCAAGAGGACTCTGGTAATGATATCGCCCCTATGCAGACAGATGATCAGCTCAAACAGGTGCTGCAAACATTAGTGAGTCATTTCTCCTTTATATCTGCATTTGAAGGCAAAAACCAAATTAAAATGCTTGCAAAGTCTCATTGCTGATTTGGGTCCACAGGAAGTGTTTGTACCAGGGCCCAACGAAAAGGCACTGTTCACAGCAGAGCCTCTTACCCTGGAGGACCTGTGCTTGCTGGCAGAGCTCTTTTATCTGCCTTACGAACATGGACCCAAGGCCATGCAAATGTTAAAGGAGTTCAACTGGCTAAGAGCCAACAGCAGCGTCGTTAGTGTCAACTGCAAGAGGAGAGAATCTGAAAAGGTGGGTGATTTTACTGAAACACGCACATGGAGTGTGTTCAGAGAAGGAGGTCCATTAGATGGCTAGTCTGTTATCAACTAACCACGCTGTTCATGGTGCAGAAAACAAAATGGTGGCTGTGTAGTACCCATACTGCCCATTGGGTGGTGTGGTTATGACGGCAAATGGTGTGCTTGGACTACAGTTTAGTGCTGTGCTTTTTGTGTAAACTATGGCTTCCCTTTCTATGCAGCTTGTTTTGCTTTTAGTTACATATTCACACGTCACAGTGGAAAAGTACAGTTGTAAATAATTTCAACACTCATGGCCTATTGGGACACTTGTATATGATATGTCATAAGTGACATGAGTGGGTTTTTTTTTTTGTGTGTGTTTTTGGGGTTGTGTTGTTTTTATTTATTTATTTTATTTTTATTTTATTTTTTTTTCTTCTTCTTCCTGCTACCACAACTCTTAAGTGGTTTAATGCTTGCCTTTTCCACCAGTATTTATCTTTTTCAAACATTGTGTTGAACACAGGTGACCGAATGGCAGTCACGGGCAGAAAAGTTTGAGGAGATGTGCTGCTCAGTCATCCAGATGTTCACACGACTATCTAATACAGCTAACCGCACCATCCTGTATGACCTCTACTCTTACCTCTGGGACATCAAGAGCATCATTTCTATGGTCAAGTCTTTTGTCCAGTGGCTCGGTACGTATAAAGGGAACCACGGGGTCCTTATTCTTAGAGAGCAGTAGTTTAGCGTAGAGTCCATTCAAGTGTTGTAATCCTTTACCATTCTCAGGAACACAGTTACATACAAATTACTAAAGCACATCATTTTTAAAAAATAAATAAATAAAAAACAAATGAAAGAACAAACAGTGTAATGATGGCTCATTTAGCTGCATGGTTTCCATTCTAGACCTGGACTATGTTATTTTTAAGAATGATATGAGACAACAATCTGAATAACAGTAATATTTCTAATCTTCTGCATCAGTTAATGTAGGATTAGTTTTTGGCAAATATACCCAGCTGAAATTGGTAGCAGGTTATTTGATTAGTTTAGAAATGGGTTAGGTCAAATGCATCACATTTAAATGAATATAAATCTATTAATTGCGCTTTAATTTGTTGATTTTTTTTCTTCTTTTTTCTAATCTGACTGAATGCTGCTTGCACTGCTGCTGTGCTCCCTTTTTATTCCACAACAATTTGCTCCATGTTTGTCTAAACTGAGTATCTGTGGAGAAAATGTCCCAGCAGGGTTACTGCTGCTTGCTGTGTATCCAGTAACATCACTGCTGCGTTCCCACACAGACACTTGCTTCCATTTCTCCGTCTGTGGGGATGGGCACAGGGGAAATCCCAACCCCCCTCCCTTCCTCCATGCCCTAGCGCGCACGCGAGCTTGGAGAGCAAGTTGACTGACTCAATGTGGAAGGCCATTCTGGTGCATAAACAAGGAATCAGAAATATCTAAATTGTCCTTAATATGAATCGCATGCATATATTACAAGAAGGTTGTTGGATTTTTAAGCTACTGAATCATGTGCTCACTCTGTATCAGAGGAGAATGCATCACATTGTAAAAGAGGATATTCTTTCTTTCCCTCCCACTTTCATCTCTCTCTATCTTAAATTAGTCTTTCAGGTGATGTCCTGTGATACAGCATGAGTGACATGGAGTCTTCTCATGACATCTCCATCTTTTCATGGAGTGTTTGTTTGTTAGTCTGAAGCACCAGCATGGCCTGTAGGTTACTCCCTGTAACCCAGTTTCATTCACAGGTTTCTGTCCTGTCTGGCTATATGGTAAAGCTGAGGTCTCTGGCCCACAGTACACAGCAGGCAGCATACCCACACTGGCAAATCCACATTAAAAGTCCACACTGCCGGCTTGATGCTTCAGTAAATGGTCTTAAACGCTCAAGCCTCACCAAAGAAGTTAAAGCCCCATAAATATAGTTACCTGCATGAAGTTCCCAAATATTGACTTCTGCTTTTGCTATTAGCATTCATTTCATCAGTCCCCATATTTTCCCCCCTAGTGGAAGCTGTGCAGCCGGCACTTAGTCACAACCTCCCTGGTTATTGCACTGAGAACACTTACTAATAACTATTTTCTACTGTTTTCTCCCTTCACTATGTACAGATGGAAGAATCCACAGTACAAGTTTCTACTGCTATTGGATCGACAGTGGCCGATGTATGCATATGCAGGCGTTGTCTCTTATGTTCATGTATCAAATTGATCTTTGTAGTTTTATTTTAAAGCTAAAAATTTAAAAGTAAAGGAAAGATTTGGAGGAAAGCAAGCTGCCCTCTGGATGAAGTCACATTTTGCGCAGCGATTTTAAAGTCTGAATACTAAGTGTTAACTCCCAAATTTCTCTTTGGCAGCATCTCTCTAACTTGTTTTTTTTTGTTTCTGTCAGTAGGCCTGTAGAATTGGCTCAGACCAGCCAGATGCACTCACTCAAGGGACCTTACACTTGGTTTTATTTATATTTAATATGTAATATTTGAGTGGACTCACCCTAAAAAAAAGGGGGGGGGGTGGGCAGAAAGACAAAAGAACAAATGTTCCATGTTATTCTGCATAAATGTCACAGTGCTGGATCGGTGCCGTTGCACTACATAATCGGCTAGTCTTTTGCGGTACCCTTTGTGGTTTTTAATCTGGATATCCAGGTTCCCAGTTCCTTCCTGTGGCTGCATCTGTATGCTGTGTTGTCAGTTCATCAAAGGAAATGTTTTAGGTATCAGGAAGAGATTTACATGTAAAGCACTGTTAGGTGTCCTGCACGCGCGCTGCATTTGTCTGGTCACATGACAGGGCTTCTTGTCAACCAGGGGTTGGTTTTTATTAGCAACTTGAATCAGAAGCTTGCTCATTTGTCTTTATATTGATTGGGTTTTAATAATAAGCTGAGAGGTCCTTTAAGTCTGGAAATGCTGATCATGCTGCCTCTCGTCTTCCTGGTTTTTTTTAATGACTTGTGCTACCCCCGTCATGTGACAAGGCAGATAAAATGAGAATGTGACTTCACACAAGGTGCTAATATCAGTGGGGTGACGGCAGCTAAAGCTTACTTTGGTAGCCCATAGACGGATTTTTTTTTTTTTAATCCCCGCCCCCCGCCCCCCGTATTGGTCATGAAGTCTGTCAGCTTCTCAAATGAGAATTGCCCTCCTGAAACACTGAAAATGAAAGACCTGCATCAAATAACTTGCCACATGGACACCATGTCACATGGAGCGTTTGGGTAACGTTTTGCATTTACAAAGGTGCAGAGCAGTTTTTTGTAAAAGTAATGTGCATCTTGCACCAGATTCCATCTAGCATATATAAGCTTTAGATGCTTGAGCCCCATTTGATTGTAAAATATATTCTCTACATATAATTCCAAATTGGGTCCTTTTTTTTTATGTTTTAATGATTTAAAAAAAATTAAAAAATTCATAAATATTTTGCTATTAGATATGACCCCCTTCATTCTCATCTCCCCACTCCCTTCATCTGTATCAGAGAGCCCCATCCTGTGGTAACAATGTCCGCTTGGCTCTGCTCCTAACAGGGTGTCGTAGTCAGTCCTCAGCACAGTTCCTTAGAGGAGACCAAGAGCCATGGGCCTTTAGGGGAGGTCTAGCAGGAGAGTTCCAGGTATCTAATGCACTGAATTTACAGCAATCAAATGGAGAAAAAAAAAAAAAAAGAGAGAGAGAGAGAGAGAGAAAAGAGTGCTGTGAGCAAAGACGACGATGGTATTATGTGCATAGGTATGAAGGGGTTTGGTCTGTCAAAGGTGAGCTGATTGCAGTGAGTTATGCTCACGACATCCAGGCTCCATCCCCTCCACTTGATCTCCAAATATGTTTGTGCCCTAGCATTACTTTGGGATATTGGCAATATCTGTGAGGGGAGTGGGTGACCTGAATTCCATGCTGGGAGGGGAAAAAGACAAACAAACTTAAAGCCAGCGTTTGGCGTGGCATCTTCTGATTGTGTTGCTGATTCTGATCAATTTTGGTTTCTTTCAGCAACTGCTGAAGGAGATGCTGCTTTTCCCTGGCGCATGCAGCGCAAGCGAGTATGGTTAGGTTTTATTTTCATGACATATCATTTCTTTGCAGGAAAGCACAGCGCTCAAAGCCAGCCCTTTGCGAGCGCACGCGCAAGCATTGCAGCGCCAGCGAGAACGCAAGCATGTACGCGATGAGAGAGTTCCATGATTAAACACATCAGTCCAGTCTAAAGTGGTGTTTCCAGCCCAGACTCCCAATGGCAACCAAAATGCTGTTGAGTGACTCAGTTGGCAATCATTTAATTCCCCGTTTTGGGTTTTTTGTTGCTTGGAGTTCTCTCGGTCTTTCTGCGCTAGCATCATTATTTTTCTCAACAGGAGGGTCCTGCGCAGCGAAGTATTGCGATGCCTTACAAAAGGGAAAGGAGCATCTCCTTCAGCCAGTAAAACCTTAGTCAGACCAAAACGCGAGCCTTTTTTTCTTTTTGTTATGTTTGCAAATGTCTGTTTGTAGTTGGTGCTGTTTCTTTAGCGAAAATGAGAAAGAAGTGAGGTTTGCTCTTGTTGTCCACTGTCAGGTCAACAAGGAACAACAGTTTATATACTCAAGTTGTCTTCAGACTCCAAAGCACTTTTCTGTCTTTAGTTCCTTTTGGGTTGATAGTGGTTCAACTTGGCAAACACACAGTGAGGCAGTCAGCCAGACTAGCACGACACCTTTTCCCTGTGAAACTGACCCTCCTTATTTTGATATCCACAGCGATTGTTGCCAATAGATGGGGCAAACGATCTTTTCTACCAACCTCCACCTTCATTGCCATCCTCAAAAATCTATACCATAAGGCCGTACTTTCCCAAAGATGAGGTGAGATACTTGTTGTTGTTTTTTTTTTTTTTTTTTAGTTAAGCCACACTCCTGTAGTCCTTTTTATAACAGTTGTCAAGCACGGCAAAATTGTCTTGTCTTGAAGGAATTTCTTTAGCTTTGGCACGTTTACTTGTTAATTGATTAGGTTTGCTCATTAAATGTCACAAAACAGTTTGTCACCAGACCTCAGATATTTGTATAAGTATCCTGTCGTCTTCCCCTCATTTCACATAAGTGACAAAATGATGAAGCTGCAACATGTCTGTCTTGGACATCCACATGTTTTGTATGAAACTGATTTACTTCTGGAAAATCCCTTCTAACTAATATGTGACCATATTTTGTATTTCGTCACTTATTTAGTTCCTGAGTCTTTATTACATTATCTAGCAAAAAAAAACCCACCCTATAAGCAGTTTTTGCCAGGCCTTCAGCACTTTTTCAAATTTTGATGACCATGAAGCTGCATATTGCCGACATGCGTTTAACACATTAAAACAAATGAAACAAAAAATGAGACGGTAACATTGCATTCACAGGGGATGTTTACATTTAAAAATAAAATAAAAAAAATGTGGGATTTATTATAAATAATGGATTTTTGTCTTTATATTGATTGTAGTGAAAAGCTACAAAAGTCTGGACCAATATTAATGTAAACTGCAAGCTGAGTAATTCGCAGAATCCATATAACTTATGAGTCACTTATTCAAGTAGAGTTAAAGTTGCTAAACTTGGTGAGAACGCAACTGTTTCATTAACAGCTGTTATCGGTCTCATTATGCAGACTGCAGTCTATAAAATATGTAAAGAGATGTACTGTGAAGGCACGGAGGATGTACCATTCTCTGATGACGATCCTGACCTCATAGGAGACAGGTAAGAAAAGGCACATGCATTTGTTTGCAATCCACACATTTCCCCATTCCCCTTATTAAGGCTTTAATCTGTGTTCACAGGTTAGTAGGAGGTCTCCTGACACTAAGTTCGGACTATGGGTTTGTGTTGGAGGATGATGAAGGGATCTGTGGTTATGCTCTCGGCACCGTAGATGTTAAACCTTTTATCAAGAAATGCAAGTTGAGCTGGATTCCCTTCATGCAAGAGAAATACCACAAACCTGACTGTGATAAGGACCTCACAGAGGCTGAGGTATGCTTATAATCCATTTCTTTCTATCGTAATATTGAGCGTTATGATTGTGCGTCCTTTTATTAAGATTACTAAAGCACTCTTTCATTATTGTAGAAGATGATACTGAGTTTCCATGAAGAGGAGGAGGGTCTGCCGGACTCTTTCCTCTCCAACTTTCCCTCTCTCATCAAGGTTGACGTTCACGCCAAAGTCACTGACCCCAGTGTGGCCAAAAGCATGATGGGCTGTCTGTTATCTTCTCTTAAGGCCAACGGTAGGTAGCAGCCAATCGTGTCTTTAGCCTCCTGCCTCATAACCACTCCATAGAAGTATTGATTCATTAAGTTTATTTTTCAAGTTTTAGTAAAGTGGAAAACAAAGGTTCACTTATCTACATGTAATGTGTGCATGAGGCCAAAGTCCAAAAAGACAAGATTAGAAGCCTAGATAACTGGGGTTTTTTTTGTTTGTTTTTTTTATCATAAAGGCTTCTTTACCCCTTTTAGATTTACTGTAAATAAACCAAGGGTAGTGAACTTTGGTTCTCTTTTCTGTGTCCTTTCTCTCTCAGGATCCCACGGCTCGTTCTGTAAGGTTCGACAGACTGATAAGCGAATGTTGGACTTCTATAGTAAGCTGGGATGCTTTGAAGTGGCCAAAATGGAGGGCTTTCCTAAAGAAGTCATCATTATGGGCCGTAGCCTTTGAAGAAACATCCTGCAACAATGACGGACAGAGCGAGTTGACGTAGTTTAAATGTGTTTGCTACCTTCATGAGAAAACTTTCATGGTGATTTTTATATCACGTTACCAATCTGGGCTCTTTTTAGGATTTGTGTGGAAGCACAGCGGATGCCTGTGCCCCCCCCCCTAGATGTTTTGGCTCTACTGGATTCAGCATGTCGAAGGCCAAGGAGTGATCTGTAATCTCTTTCACTCAGTAACACATAAGTGGAACCCCTTCTCTGATCCCACTATTCCTTCCTAGGAGGAAGGAAAGAGGAAGGAAGAGATGACTCCTTGAGACCTTCTTAACCCACCTCCCCCCCCTTTTTTTTTTTTTTTTTTTTTTGTTTTGTTTTGTTTTGTTTTTTTAATCCAGTGGCCATTACATGAATTTTACCCGCATGCCTGAAATCGGCGTCTGTATCTGAAGGCTGAGCTGTGAAATGAGGGTAGCCCGCATCTAGTGTCGTAACTACCGCTACATCCTGCTTTCCCAGATGTGACATGGAGAAATGGTATAGTCGTTGGCTTAGGTGAAACATCTTTATGCAGGATGTGAAGTGCTGTTTGAGAGTTTGCCTTTCGTTTTCACATCATGGTATTTTCGGTCGCTCCACCACATACTTGGAGATGGATGCCTTTTTAGGTAGTGTGTTTCTGACAAAATTGATCTGAAGCACTGTGTGTGTGTACACATGAAGGGTGAACAGTTGTAGCTTTTTAAGGTTTTGCCAAGCCCTGAATTAAATTGTTGCCACAGGCCAACAAAGCAAACGTCAAAGAGGTCCTTTTGAATTTCTGTTCTAGTAGTAGACATTTGGAAAGCAATAAAAGCTTTCATGTGTTCATTAACATGTTTTTCAGCCATTGCCTTTTTGTTCCTTGCCTTATCATTTTAGCTTATAATTTCAAACACAGCTAGAGATGGCACGTTGACCTTGTTGTTTTTCAAATTCCAGAGATGTAGCCTCACACTCACAGTAAAGCGTCTTGGTTTTTGCTCTACCAGATCCATAACGCAAGCACAGAAACCCTTCAGTAAACTAAGCTGATATTGTACCATTTTTAGTTAAGTTAAATTCTATGTTTATCTAATATTGTTGAAATGTTTGTCTTTCTAACTTTGCGTAGTTAAAATGTCAAATTTACCACAGTTTGTTTCGTTCCTGTTTGAAAGCACGAATGTTTAAATCGACACTTCCTGAGAGTAGTACACCACGGGACCAAAATGTGTTAGGCTTTTTGCGTTGCTTTGTTTTTTGTTTTTTCTTTTTGGTTGAAATGATGAAGAATCCAAAATCTTCTGTTCCTCCACTAATATGAAACTGCTCATTTCACCAGACCTGACGGGCAAATTCACTCATGTCATCCCTTAATGCTTTGTTTCAGCGTTGCATACCAGTACATGTATTTTCAGCTGCGTTTCAGCGAGGCGCTCTTGGGATCACTGAGGTTGTTGAATCCTGTCACCAAATGTGAAAATGGCAATGGTTTCAACACTGTTTAGTTCAGTTGACGTGGTTTGGAGCCGAAATTCATACCCTTCCTCCCTCACAAGCTCTTCATTGAATGTGTTTTTAAGTCAAAGCTATAATTTGCTTTTATGAAATTTTTTTTTTTTCTTTTAAAAAGCACTGTCACTCATAGGAGTGTTTAACCGGTTAACTGAGGATCTGTGGTTGTTACTCAGTAGCTGCCTGCCAATGTGATGTTTTGAAACTGTGCATTCATAATGTGCATGAGTTGTAATGGATTTGTTGTGGCAGATGCTGGAAAAAAAAAAAAAAACTCATCTTCATGCTACATAGAGGAAGAAGCATGCCACTCAGCCCTATGAATATAATACTGTTGTTCTCGGACAGTCTGTAAACTGTCGATCATAAAGTGTTGTTTTGTTTTCTATATTGAAACTGATGCTGGTTTAGTTAATCTCTTGTCCTGTACAGCCGTTTTACCTGTCAGCCAGGTGTGAAACTCGCCCACGGGATCTGCTATCTGTCTGCTGAAACAGCAGTATAATTTTCACACTTGTCTTAAATGGTTAATTTTGCAGTTTGCTGATGCTTGAGCTTTCTCCTCTGCCAACTAGATTTGATTAATACTTGGCTGTGAAAGAGAGAGGGCTCCAGTGGTAGATTTTCAGTTAAGGGGTGGGGGGATCATTAAAGTGAGTTTTCCATTGTAAAGTTTGTATGTAAAGTATATAAAATGGAAAAACTAATAAACGATAAGTGACTGTTGCTTTGTCCTGTGCGCCACTATTTATCTAGAAATATTTTTTTTTATACCTGTCTGCAGTGAAAGATTTCATGTAAGGTTTTTAGAAGTAAAGGGAAAGTAATATCTTTACATAAAGGAATATTGACCTGTTCAGATGGGTCGAAGTGACCTTTGGTTTAATGTCCTTGTTAAAAGAATCTTTATTGCAAACAATTATGTAATAATCAACAGCCAGTGGTTAGGTATACCTGTTCAACTAGTTATTAAGGCAAATATCTAATCGGCCAATCACATGGCAGCAACTCAGTGCCTTTAGGCATGTAGACATGGTCAAGATATCTGCTCAAAATCAAACCAAGCATCAGAATGGAGCTAAAAGGTGATTTTTTTTTTTTTTTTTTTTTTTTTTTTTTTTTTTTTTTTTTTTTTGTGACTTGAAATGTGCAATCTGTGATTCCAGACAGGCTGGACTGAGTATTCAGAAGCTGGTTATCTACTGGGATTTTTCCCAAAGTAATTTCTAGGGTTTATAGAAAGTGGTTTTAAAAATCAAAATCAGTGAGTAGCAGTTTTTTGTTTTTGTTTTTTTTTTTAAACGTAGAAATGACTTGAGGTCAGAGGAGAATAGCCAGACTGCTTTTGAGCTGATATGAAAACAACCATAACCACTGATTTACAACCAGTGTGTGCACAAGAGCATCTCTGAACACTGAAGCAGATGGCTTACAACAGCAGAAGACCATGCTGGGGTGCCACTCATGTCAAGTAAGGGCAGGAACCCAAGGCTGCAAGTTACATGAGATTGCCAGAACTGGAAAAAACGTTCTGGATTTCTGCTGCAACATTTGTAATGGTATGATCAGAATTTGGCGTTAAAAAGCTGAAAGCACGAGCTCATTCCTGCCTTGTATCAAAGATTCAGGCTCCTGGTGGTAATGGTGTGACGGGTGTTTTCTCTGCACACTTTGGGCCCCTTAGTACCAACTGAGCATCATTTAAACACCAGTCTGAGTATTGTTGCTGACCATGCCCATCCTTTTATGACCACAGTATGTCCATTTTTGATGTCTGCTTCCAACAGGATAACACTCAATGTCACAAAGCTCAAATCATCTCAAACTGGTATCTTGAACATGACACTGAGTTCACTGCACTTAAATGGCCTCCACAGTCACCAGATTTCAACAACAGAGCACCTCTGGGATGTGACGGAACATGAGATTCCCATCATGGATGTGCAGCAACTGTGTGGTGCTGTAATGTCAATATGGACAAAAATCTCTGGTTTCCCCCTGGGTGAATCTATGTCACGAAGACAGCTCTGAAGGGACTAAGTTTAAGCAGATATTATTAGCATTAGCAGATAGTATTGTTCACCTGTAATATTCTACATTTCACTGTATTTTACATTAAGTTCAATAGTTTTTAAGTTTATTAGCCACCGCTGTGAATCAGCTCAGGTAAATGAGAAGTTCATCACGTGTTTTACTCAGTCAGCGGCAGCGCCTGATTTCTGTAAAAGGAGGCACGGGCGCGCACTGATGACGTATCAGGCACGCGCGTAGGCTGCGACGTGCTTGTTATTTATCGTGGAGAGCTCATTAGACAGGAAAGCGCCAGCAGAATACTTAACTTTTACCGCTTCTGCAAAATGTCTTTCCACGACGATGAATCCTCGGACGTCGGACCGAGCGGTCAATCCAGGCTGGAGAGCTTCCTGTTCAGTAAGGGCCTGTTAAACAGTCTGTCAGAGATGCTCTGTAGGCGCACACGTGGGTTTCTGCTGTGATGTTCCTGCAGAAATTTCTCCCTCCTTGTTTTACGGGGGATTTTGTTTTGGGTTGCTTTGTTTTTTGTTTTTGTTTTTGTTTTTTGGGGGGGGGTGTTAATAAAATCCGTTGTCATTTAATTGCCGGTCTTACTGTTATTCCAGGTTGCGAGCTGTCCTCCAAAGTACCTTTCTACACTTTCCAAGGAGATGAGGAGGAGGACCTGGAGCACTTCCTTGAACTCAGAACAGTATGTACAGTTTTGTTACCATCATTGGGATTTACCAGCGGCACGAACACACCAGTCAGTCACACTTTAGTCTGTCCGCAACAGTGATGTTCGGTGTTGTGATTGCTGCAGGTTTGCTTGGGTAACGGTGCCAAGGAGGAGAGCAATGTGGTGGAGGTGACAGCCATGAACCACCAAGGAAAGACGATCTCTGTGCCCATTGCCAACCTTCACATCAAGTGTCTCCCCATGGTGTGTAAACTGAGGCTGATGTGCCACACAGCTGAAGTTTGATCTGTCTTAACTTTGATGCTTTCTGTCGACAGGTGAGTCTGGGAGAGTTTGAGCTGAAAGCCCCAGTCACCATCCGACTCAAGGCCGGCACAGGGCCAGTTTCTGTCAGTGGGCTACACCTTATTGGTAATACTCTACTTTCTTTGTGCTTTAACACTTTAACACTGCCAGTACTGACACTCTAAGAAGCTCACTGACAATATCTCATCTGTTTTCAGCCCCTTCATTGTATTTATATCAAAATGATAGTAATCAGTGAATAATAGGAACTGATCCAGTGCAGGTACTCTGCTTTTCAAACTGAGTTGGCTGACCCAAATAAACATGCAAATAAACATTTGTATTTTTATTTGTAGCTGATTATAAAAAATTGAATTCCTCTGCTTGACATTCAAGGAAGTTAATTAGCTTGGCTGTAGTTGATTGGTTGACCTATTGGTCTATATTAGGGATGGGCAACAGTTTATCGCAGTGTGACGTGGATAAAATAAAGCAAAGATCCAGACATTCAAACCTCTGAGTTCCAATATGTCACCCCTAACCCTGAATTACTCTAAACTGCATGAATTTTGGTAGGTATAACATGTAAGAATAATGTCCTTGTTTCAAAAATCAAGAGCTTTCTTCTAGAAAGTTTGGATAAAACAATCTGCTGAAATCCTGTGTCAGCTTTTAATTTTCTATATTTTAAGTGAAGGCGTTGTAATTAATAACTGGGGGGAAATGATTTGCACACAAGTGAAAGCCGTGCCGAACAACATCTATAAATATGGATCCTCATTCTTATTTATTTGCTGGGAGGCAGGGCTTGTTTAGTTTGCCTAAAACTCTTCCCCCCACGAAGATGTTTAACAATTCCTCCGTAACTTTAACAAAGAGTTTTGACCTCTCAGCATGTATCGCTATCGTCATTTGAAGACGGTAACAGTAGTTTCCCTTTTTCTTTTTTCTTTTTTTTGTGTAGCTACATAATCAGAGACGACCCTCACTAACTTCTGATGCAAACCCGTTCATTTTGTTTTATAAGCAGCTCCAGCTTATTCATCGTACTTTTAAAAGAACGTTTACTCAAATTAAGTCCCCCTACCCCGAGACGTTCCCCCTCTCATACAAGAGCCTTCTTCAGTTCTACAAGCTGATTGGGAATCCCAGGTATTTAACCTCCACTGGGGTTATCACCTTGGAGGCGGTCCTGACACTTCTACGTGAACCTGAGAATCAAGCTTAGTTGCCTTCGGCTTAAGTGCTTAACACCTATGATATTTTGAAAAAGATCTTTTGTACCTCACAGCCTTTGAAAAACGACAGTCTAAAGCGGCGGCTTTGGGATCCAAACGCATTTAATTTTCAATACAGATGAATGCTATGAACGTCCTGTATAGTGAAACACCTGGAGTAACCTTGGTGCTCCCTCACCCTGCTAGACAAAAGGTTAAATATGTCTCTGGGCAATAAAACTTTGTAAAAGAAATCTGCAACTTACATCTTACAATTTTATTTCTTCTGCTGTTTCAAGTTAGTGTGTGCGTGAGGGTCAACTGTGAGGGCACATTCAGTAAAGCGACCTTTCTGGCCCTTAAAGAGTTCACCATTTTCTATGTTTTTTTTTTTTATTCTTTTGTTCTTTTAATATGAAACACAATAACAGAACATTTAAGGGCCAAGTCTCGCACACGCAGTCGAGATGGTGGTACCAGGATTCGGTGTAACACGGTGAGCTGACATTTTCTCCTGATCTTCTCAGCCACACAGGTCGAAGACTCCGATTTGTCTGAGGAAGAAGAGGAGGAGGAGGAGGAAGAAGAAGAGGAAGAGCTGCCTGCTATCAAACCAGCAAAGAAGAAGCAGAAGCAATAGGTGGAGGGTTCACCGATGGTTTTGTTTTGTTTTTCTGAAATGGCTCACTCTCTGATGCATTTTAAGAAATAACACTTTTTTTGTACCAGACGGACACATTTTACAAAGTTCCCACTTCTTCCACACCAGCCGCGAGAACGCTGTGTGTGGTGGCAGCTAATGGTGCAGTCGGAGGAATCACGACTGGCTCTGATGTTCTCGCCTCTCCTCTGTTTCTCACTGCGAGCATTGCAGCAGTGTAACTCGCTTGTAGAAGAACTGTTTTGTTTTGTTGTTTTTTTTGTTTTTTTTGCTACCCACAGTTTTATACTGTATATAATTCAGTCACCACTGAAGGTAGTGGAAGAGGTGTCTTTTTACCACCAGCGGATCCCGGTATTGTTTAAAAAGGCCGATCTGGTAAAAAAATAAATAAATAAAAACGTTGTCGTCCACTTATCAGACGGGAAAGAAAATGCGTTCCAGCTCAAACCGAGTGGTGCAGACGGATGATGATGTGCGTACGTCTTGATTCGTAGGAGTGTCATCCTGCCAGTTGTAATATCAGAATACTGTTTTTCTACGTGATGTTTCAATCCTAAATGTGAAGATTTGTACTTAAAGTCAGAACAAGAAAGCAATTTTGTCCAAATAAATGAGAAATCCCAGCACAATAAATAAAATCCACAGTTTGTCTGTTTGTGGTTTGCTTTCTGTTAGCTCGCAAAATTTGTACAATTTAGGCCAGCGCTGCTTTTTTTTTGTTGTTCTCCAAAGGTTGATTCTGTTCATCTGGACGTAGCGTTTTCAGTGGGAGAAACCGAAAAGAAGCAGTCGGCTGAGACTGAAGAAGTCACTTGGATGAGTGACAAAACATTTCTCCCACTGAAAA